CTTTCTAGGTTATACACAGTCCCACGTATACATTACTTCCACAACTGCTTGAGCTCTACCTTTGCTTGTTTGCAACTAGGACCAGATCTAAGGAATTTAGGTTTTCCCCTTCTACTTCAAAATCTGAAAGGTATTTAGGCACCCCACCTCAACTTTTCATAGTGAGAAGGATCTAGACCTGCAACCTAAACAGACTAAAAGCTTACTAAAAGAAAAATCAAATCCATTTAAAGACAACAATCTTCAGAACCCATGTTCTGACACTGATTCCTTGTCTTGGAAGAAGAGAAAAAAGTAGGAACATCCCAAGAAACCTTCAGCGTACTTTTTTTTTTTTTTTTTTAACAGAATAGTTCAGTTGATTTTGGTACTCTTAAGACTGTTAGTATTTAGCTCAAATTTTTGACTAAGTTAATCTACACAAGCAGTTCAAAGCCAGCAATCTCTTCTGCTGTGTGAATTCTTTTTCAAACTGAAAATATCTATCTATATATGGAAAATATATGGAAATAGATCTTCTTTCATACAGAAATATGCAGATGAAAAATATGAGCACTGTCATAGCGCAGATATCTTTGGTTTTTATATGGAAACTACTATGCCTGTCATCAGGAAAAGGGTGTACATACACCAAGGACTGCAAAATGCAAGAACCTTCAACTCCGAGAACCTGAATTCCTTGACCACACAGTGAGTGACAACCTGTCCCCATCCTCCTCATCCACCTGCAGCCCTGCGTTCTCAAAAGCAGCAGCTGGGAGAGGAACAAGCTTACCTGTGGTATCTACAGAGATGCTGGTTACTGCTAGAGTTTCTCTCCCTTTTCAGTATTGCCTCAGGAGACAATGTGTAATTATTGACCTAACTTTATCTAAGACTACAGCTCAAGGTTTCTCCTGGGGAAAATCTCCCACCAGGGCACACCAACCTTTCCACAAGCTTTGGCTTCTTGAATTCAATCTGATCCTGTTTTCAAAGACACCTGATCAACAGTGCACATTTGAAGATCAGAAGGAATAAATTTTCCATTTCAAAATTTGTATTTCTGTTGCCCTCAACTTTGAAAACACATTTGTCACCTGATAATCTAACAGGGACAAGGAAACTATTCTGAAGCTGAAGGCGCTACAAGTTGCGAGACTGCTAAACATCTAGTGTAGGACTCTGGAGCAAGGATGACGTTTCTGAGGCTTTAGGAACTTAAAGGATTTGTACGTAGGATATCAGTCCATTTGTTTCACTGGTCAAGCTTTCTGATCTAAAGCAATTTCCACATGCCAAGAATAGCAAAGCTTTTAGGCAGAAACAAGTATTACTCAATATTGTATTTTAATTTCCTCACTAATGGAGACATATCCAAGAAGAGTTATAATTACCAGATTTCCATCATAGTTACAGCAAATAGTTATGGATCTTTGACAATTTTTTTTAAACATTTAAAGATATTTAAGATGATTAAGAGTATTTAATTGTGGCTAACAGCAACTCATATTTACTATGCAATACTCTTCGAAAGACTGCAGACTTCCACAGAACTCAGCAGAAAAATAACATGTGGTAATCTCAGTACTGTAAGTCCTAGCTTGGTCTTCAATTCCAACAAGACATAAATTGTATACAAGTTAAAGCTTTTAAACTAGTCACTGTTTGGGATTTATGCATTCCAGCCAGGTCTCATGGCTGATCAGCTTAACAGACCTTGTAGTGAAACGACTGCTGCACTGCTTCAGTCCCGTGGAAATAGTATATTCCCTAAGAAAAAAAAAAAAAAAAGGGGGTGGTGGTGGCAAGAAAACAGGACTTTTGTTGAAGCATAAACAGCTGGTCAACACAAACCTTTTAGAAATTTACTGTATAAAACAATCATAACCTTTCTTCCCTGTAGGCCCATATTTCCCACAGAGACAAGTATCAGAATTAATAAGCCCTTCCTTTGCATACTGGAAATGTTGTCAAGCGTAAGCGCAGCACATTAATTTGCTGTTCATGTTCCCTTCAATTCACACTTTTGATTGCACTCTACATAGCTAACAGCTTCTCCCAGCAGTTACGCATAGAAATACTCCAAGAGAAGATAAATTATTCCCACTTAAAACACAGCTGCCAGAAGACGCTAGCTCCTGTTAGGAAACAGGCAGTTCACAAAATTTCTTCTAGAAAAAGTTGTAACAAGAGAGTGTCTAAATGTAGGTGAGGACAAGTGAAAAACCAATATCCCAATGCTAAGATTTAACTTCTGCAGGGACTCCAAGGACTACTTTTGGTACCACGCCTTAATACTGGGATTTTAAATTGAACAAAGGAAATGGACGCTCCAACTCATTTTAAGCAGGTGCACGAGTATGGCTTTGCATTTCCATCTACCTTTTCATTCAAAAGAATGAAAACAAGTGATGAAGTTGCTATGGGTCTACTTTGTTTTCCCTACCATATTCCTTTCCAAAGCTGAGAAAAATCCATGAAAGCACAGGCGTCCTGAGCTACACTTAATCTATTTTTAAGTCAGGTCTATCACAAAGTGTCAGCTGGTACCGTTTTTTTCTAATTTTGTGTGTGTTTATTTCAGCCCCCAAAATAAATAATTTTGCAATATTAGGAAAAAATCAATTACGCTGCTGTTTAATCTATGCTTTATCTGGAAACAGTTTGAGAATATGAGATACAAACAGGATAAAGTTAATCTTTAAAAAAACCAAAGTAGCACCGTTTCTGTTTCCTGAAGAATCTAACCTGAAGCTGGAATGTTTCTTGCTTAGCAGTTATCCCTATCAATAATCATGTGAAAATTCATATTCATTCAAGTTTTAAAATTAAGTGCCATTAATACAGGGAGAATCTGATTCAGCAGAAGATACACTTCACTGGTATTGCATACATGTACGTAAAGGAATGGAAGTTTTTAAACAGGTGACCTCAGCAGACTGCCAGATTTTATACACATGTGATAAAGCTCCAGAAAACCTCATCTTTTGACTGGAGGCTTCAACTTTAATGTTGAAGTTTAATGAGCAGAGAGCCGGCAGTGCTCTTTCCAGTCACTAAGGAATTCTCTAACCACTTGAAGTGATTACATGTGCAATGAGCCCTATAAAAAGTAAATGTCCAACTTAATTGCGACCAAGCTCACTCTGTGTCTGTTTAGAAGATTCTTCTCCTGGTACGTACAATACATACAGTGTGAACAGTCTGTTTCGCATCCATGACCCTATGCAGCAGAGCATCAAGAATTTCTGCCTTAATGGGTCTTAATCACATGGCTAAGAGTCGTCTCAGTGAACCTCTGGGCTTCAGTGCGCAGGACAAACCGCCCTTGTAAGACTGGCAAAAAGGACAGCTTTAATTTTAGGTATTTTTCAAATAGAACGTTGGCTTTGCGTCTTCGTTCCTACCACTTTCTCCATACGCAGTTCACGTCTACCTTTATTTAGACTATTACGTACTAATGCTCGCTGGCTTCTGTTTGACAGCGAGAAGCACTCTGATACTCAGACAGTAAATGTCACACAACTGCCTGCGGGCGATGGTTGCTTGACAACACTTGCATGTCCTGCTGCAAGAAGGCATCAGATGGCACCGGAGAGGAGGAACGAGTGTGTTTAAAGTCACCTGCTCACTGAGAACTCTACGTCATGACTGCAAAGTTAATTTTATTGCCTTATTAAAGTGCTGGGAATATAGGTCAGCAAAATTACAGTTGAGCTACCAAAAAAAAAAAAAGGGGGGGGGGGGGCGGAAATTAAAAAAGGAGGCAAAGAAACCCTTTCTTCAATCATTCCTTTTCCAACCACTACCCAAATCTAGCAGTGCACTGCTTTAACATCAGAAAGGTAGTGCTCTAGCGAAGTATCTCATTTCATGTTTGTACCTGACAAAGCTGTACTCATTTGTCATTTCAAAATTTTGTTCCGTTTGAATATTTATTTCATTAATACCTAACACTCACTCTTAGGCAAAATTTGATTCCAGGTCAGAGCACAGCCAGAACATGTTTTATGTTCAAATAACTACTCATAGAGCAGCTACAGCGACCAAACAGAATCTGGCAGGTATGTAAAAGGAAAAGTAATTTAGAAATCTGTATTTTTGTGCATCCAAAGTTTTCTATTCCCAGACTTGCATATATACAAATTAGATGCACATACGTGTATGTATACTTACATACACGCATGCATGTAAACATATGCATGAGGTGTATTAGAAGTAATTTCATATTAGAAATAATAGATAAGCAATAAAGAGTAATTTCTAACAGTTCTTAAATCCAAGAAAAAGTGGTGAAGGAGGGAAGTGATCTGCACAGTTACAGCGATCCCCTGACACTACTGCGCTGCATCATGGACAAGGTTCTTACAGAAGGTCTTGTAAAACTGGGCTACATGAGAAGGCAAAGGGGGGAAAAAAAAAGGTATCCTGGGAATATTCAGGTCTTTAGGAGCTACCAAATATCTCAAGAAAGAGGGCTGTGTCAGTAACTCCACACATCAGCATTGCTATTTCCTGGAAAAATCTGCAATAATGAAGTATTATAAACAGCAAAGGAGCTCAAAACCCCCATACTTCCAAATTTTAAAAAGTCTGTCTTCATCCACATAAAAAACAAGAAGAAGAGCAGCTTTTTGACCAAAAAAGGTTAAACCTAATTAAATTCAAAGCTTCAGTTTGAAGAACTTTTTTTTTTTCCTTCCTTTTATTTAGTTTTGAGAAATAATTCACATGCCAAATGGCATTCCAAGAAGATAAGCGGAAATATTAAGGCCCATAAAACAGCAGCTGAAACTCAAAGCATCATCTTGAATGAGTGCAGTAGCACAGCTATGGTCAGAGTACTCTTTGTTTTCCTAAAGTAGTTTCTTTCAAACAAATTAGGTAGTTTCTAACTCTTCTCTTCAAACTGGAATATAGGGAAAAATTAGAGGAAAAGGTTTTTGTAACACTCATAGTGATGATCAGTCACCTTTTGTCTCTATTAAAATAAGTAACTTCAACTTTCAGACTACTTCACGTGTTTCCAAAATGATAAAAATTCAGAAACAAGTTTAACTGAGATGCAAGATGAAAACCATATAAAACCCAAACTCTTCTTTTAGTCCCTGTACAACACGTGCAGTTCAATTCATCTCTGAGTATACAACACTGCAGACAGAACGTAAAAACCTTTTGTTAACATGCAACACAAAACAGACCTGTTAGACTGCAACATAAGATGAATCAAAGCAAAAGTTATGAAAATTATTAAAAGAAAAAGGGATAAAAATACATACACTTGGTATAGGCATGACCTGCATCTGGTCACCCTGGGGAAAAAGAAAAAAAAAACAAAAAAAAATCACTGTAAGGGTAATGGCTTTTAAGGGTAGAACAAAGGTCTGAAGCAGTAAATGTAGCACTCAAACATTTTAAACCAAAAGTTCCAAGTATTCAAGAAACCAGGGTAAAAAAAAAATAAAAACAGGATCTTGCATTTTAGTCGCTGAAATGATCGGTTAGTATATTGGCATTTATGATTTTTAGGAGACTGGACTGGTAAAACCCATGCTATGATTAATAAGAGATGATAAGAAAGTACCTGTATTTACTGTAACTTTTTCAGCTTTAAGCTCTACTAATGGGTATATTTGTCTATTTTCACTGCAGCAACAAGAGGCTCAGCCAGACCGTGGTAGCAGGGCAGAAGCAGCCCACTCCTTGAAGTTAACTTTGCTTGAAACAACTGCCTCAAAACCCAGCATTTTCACTTGGGCATTTCGCTGTTGCCTAAGATGGACATGATGATGATGAACCGATCCAATGAATCCCACTTTCTTCACCCAGATAAAGGCAACAATATCAGTGCTCCTCCCATGGTCTCACTTTCGTACTGTACTTGGGAGAAGGCAAGCCAGTCTTTGGCCAACTTGACCTTTTCTTCTCACCCTGGGACCCCAGATACAGAGACAAAGACACTTCCATTTACAGCTTCTAAATGGAGATAGGTTGGTCACAGGGTCGCCAACTCAATACGCAAGACATTTTGGGAGGTGGGAACTGTATTTTCTTATCTTTCTAATCTGTCAAAAACAAGTACTCATTTTCTGGTGGGCACTGCACATAAAAAAAAGGAAGCTGACCCTTTTTGCACAGATGTAGCTTAGGCAAATTACTCTTTAATTACTTGGACAACACAGGCTCTGACTACCAGCAGATTGTCTATCTATTGAAAAAGCTGGTTTCAACATTAGAGCATCCTCTTCCAGCTGAAAAAGTCTTGTGCTCACTTGTTTTGGAGTCTAACATAGTGTTGACACGTTGCTGACAAACAAAAGTAATTCAATATTATTTTTAAAGTCCTCTTTTTATTGCTACAACAGCAGAAATTTTTACTGAAGTTTGGCCAAAATCCAGAGAAGCTGATGAGGCAGCTAGAGAACAGCAACTATCATGAACTGTCAAGAAGTTTGCTTTAATAGAAGTATCTGATTTCTATAAAAACAAAAACACACACAAAAGCTGGTAATAATCCAAATTTTCCTCAAGATAATGGCAAAAAGAAAAGAAAAAAAAAAAGATGTAATTCAGCACGTTAACGTCCTGTTAGTGGAACATCATCTGAAGTTTGTGAGCCATTTGAGAAAGGAGTGAATTTGAGTAGGTGCCAGCCAGATTAGCTGGCCTGTGATCAAACTGTTATCAAGGATATGGTCAGGCAGGCAGAGCACAGATTGCGAACCCATGTTGTGTTTTGTTTTTAAAGGCATTTTTTGCATTCACTGGTAGAGGGAAGAAAATACAAGTGGAGCTCCTCTTCTCTCAACAGACAAAACCAGCATATGAGAGGTAGAGGCATATCTACAGCTATGGTACAAGATTATCTTACTCCTGGACACAAACATAGCTGTGTATCACATCAGGTTTTCTCACAGACTTCAAACGGCACTCACCGTGGTGTAACTTGCTTTCTATTTCGGCAATCTCTTGAAGTCAGAGCTGCACTCCATGGTATTACTGTTAAGCCTGACTTTCATGGGAATTCAGAACCTAAGTTGCTAAAGGACTTGCATTACTGTTCGCTTTATTTTTCTTGCAGCATTTCTTAAATCAAAACACAAGGAAAACAAGCGAATTTCCTAAGAGGAACCCTGAAAGCACCTATGCAAAAATCAAAATGGTAATGATGACAACTGGAAAAACAAGCAGAAAGATAAAGGCGAAGTCTGCTAGTAAAGCATAAATGCTCATGAACAGGCAAATGCTTTTTAAAAACAAGCCTGCTATGGGAAACTTTTTAAAAGTGTCCTGCCTCATTTCCTGATGCCTTGGAACAGCAAGGGAAGTAGGTCATAACGCTATCGTTTGAAATAGATGACAGATGACTGCATTTGTTGAAGTTTTTCCACGAGCTCCTGATGCTGGTAACAGGACAAAGCTGTTCCTAGAATGCCAAAATTTCCCCACTGTACCACTAAGATGACCCAGGAACTGATTTGTCCAGCCACTGAAATCAGGTTTTTTTTTTTTTTTTTTTTTTATGGCATGATATATACAGATGAAAAGATAAATCCTACCTTTTCCCTTAGCTACATAATTTTAGTCTGAGATGCACAACATTTTCAGTACCGCATCTATTCATTAATGCTGTCTGTCTACGGCCACATACAGGATCAACGAGCATCAAGTGACAGACCACGCTATTTTGCTTTTTTGAGAACAGCCTGTATTCAAAGATAAGGAGCTGTTTAATTTTAAATAACCCCTTAAAAGAAGCAGCTGATCAAAAGAACAGATTTACCATATTCGTTTCTTCAACACAAAGCTTATACTAGACCATGATAGATTCTTTAAAAACAGTAATACAGAAGCTATTTGACTGTTTCATTGACTTGGACTATTGAGCTTTGTCTCCTAATATAGAAGACTTTTTGAGGAGGCAAAGGAGGTCAGAATGAGTAGGCAGAGCCAGAGGAACCAAACATAGCTATGCAGAGGTTGGGGTTTTTTTTTTTTTTCCTAAATAGACCTACCATACCACATGCTGATGGTGACCACAGAACCTAACACTACGAACTTTCTTGCTCTGATCAGCAAAGGTTAAGCAGGAGGAAGAGTACTATTAGTTGCATTAATCTCGCTTATCTTCCTCCACACTGGGGAGTAGGACTGGTTTGCACGTCTGTTCGGGAAGCACGCTGTTAACAGACTCCCCATCAACAAGCCCCTGCTCATGTGGCTCCTCTAGGTCTCCTGCACAAAGGGGATACTACTTTTGACCTCAAGAATGTACTCCCTACAAACTGTTTTTCATACTCTGGTGGACCATATTCATGTTGGATAAAGAAGATCCCTAACCCTGCACTTTCAGATGTGTTATAGAGATCCCTGAAGCAGACAAGAGCGTTAGAGACATGACAACAGGTCATCAAAACAGCTTTCTAGCATCACCTGGGAGATGACAGCGCCGTGCGGCAAAAAGCACTGGGGAGAAGGAGACCTTATTTTTATAGTGGTTAGGATGGCTGAGGTGGAAATTCAAGGACTTGACCTTTCTGGCTTCATCCCTGTTACAGGGAAAGCAGCGGGGGCAGCTGGTGCCCCCAGAATAAACCTTCTAATTCTGTCATCTTCCCTGTTGAGTGTGGATCAAGACCTTCTCCTCCAATTCAACAAGTATTAAAAAACCCTTTCCTCATTCATGTTCCATCTTGTTGAACACGAGCCATCTGCCCGATTTGGATCTAACTGCGAAACAAAACCGGAGATGACTCCGGTGGAAGTGGGTTGCAAGTGAAATGGCAAAGTGCCCATCGACTCGTCAGAGCTCCCTCACCCACCACGACTGAAAGCGAAGGGAAGAGAGAGACAGTTTGCATCTAGCTTTTCTCACCTTTCTCTATCTGGATCCCTCCTTGAAGCCTGCAGATGAAATCTGTATCTACAAACACTTCAAAACTCAGGTAACAAACTTACCCGGGGGGGGAAAAAAAAAACCTTACACAGAGAAGCGTGCCCAGAAAATACAGAAATTGAGTCAAGTTGCTAACTGAAGAACAGAAATTGAGATTTTAATTTATTCAGAGGAAAACAAAAAACACTTCCCCCTCCCAGCACTCTGGACCCTAAAAAAGAGCTGGCTGGAAGGTCTTGGTGAGCTGCCTGCTGCTGAGGAGGCAGGAAAAAATTAGCAAGGGCTTTGTGAGGCTGAACATTGTGTCCTCCCAATGACACATCTGGCTCGGCATCCAAGCTGTAGACAGGCTGATATACCCACTGTAATAGATATTACGTCTTAGAATGCATCTTTGTGCCGCACTAAAAAGCTGTCACGTTTTAAGAAAAACAAATATAGTTTCAGTAAATACAAGTTATTATTGAAAAATGTCGTATTGAAACTTTAGAGACAGAATGGATCATTCATTACCAGTATTAGAGTCACACTTGGACAAGCAGCTGCTCTGTGAGTAGACGGTCTAAAAGTGAACTCAATACTTTAAAGAATTTTTTGGGCTTTTTCCCCTAATGGAACAGAAGTCAGTGCTGAAACCCCCTGTTTATTCAAAACCATGTTCAGTTTGGTGTTTCTTCCAATCCTATGAAGAAGTGGCATGACACTTGACTTGCCAAGCATAATCAAGTCACATCATTTAGTAAAATACTAAATGAAGCACTGATTTCATTTGAAGCACTGATTTCATTTTTTCTAATACAGCAAAACAATAATAATAAAATTAAAGTGCACAATGCAATTGCTCTGAACAAAATTTTAGAACTGTGTTTTCAATTACTTTATAAAATACGCTTCCCTGCTTTCCCTCCTTTATAACAGGTTAGCACTGAAAGACTCGAGACTCCTAATTAGAAGGAAGTTAGCTTGTCACATTAACTTCAAGAATATGCCAGAAGCAACACAGAACACTGAATTCCTGCAAAACCAGCAGAAGCTTTCTCGGTTCCTTTCCCTCCTCTGAAGTGTTTATCACCAATTTTCATGTAAAAACTCTAGTGGACAGTAAAGACAGAAGGCAAGTACGTCCAAGCCATTTTATACTAGTTTCTAATAGTAACTATTTAACATCATTGTGCAATTTTCTTTTCCCATTTTTGAAGGAAAGGGTCACAGCATGTGAACTGACTGGGCCACGGTCAGAGGTCACCTGTGATGTGATAAATAATTAATACAACATACAAAAGAGAGAGCAGATATAAGTAAGTGACCATCTGAACAGCAGCTCAACAGAATTTAAACTATTCTTAACCTGGCAGGCAGATTAATGCAACAAGAGCTTTAATCAAACAGCAGAGTTTAAGCAGCGTGCCGTCAGGCTTTCTTTTCTTTCCTAAACCAGGTAATTTTGTCATTCCTGGATGTTTAATTTCACCAACTTAGAAACTGAGGCCCACTGTTGCATGTACTTTCCCCCAGCTCACTTATCACTTCCGAATCTAGACAAGACGCTCAGTGTAAGCTGGGTCAAATCCAACCAGCCTGCGCAGCTCAAACACAGCTCTCTGGGTAAAAAGCACTGGCCTGACAGCGTAACAATATTCAAATATATCCAAGTCTTCAATGCTGTTTTTCTTTCTTTAAACAATTTCCTACTTACACTAACCATGTTAGCACTGAAAACAAAACCAGCATATGAAAAATGCATACAAAGCTTATTAGTCTTCAATACTGCATTTAAAATGGAGATATTACAGGCTTATTTGCACTCACTTAAGAACTACCCAAAAGCTTAGCCATACTTGATTTCTTCTACAAAGCTCTGTACGCATCTGAGTACATTTCATTCTGTTTGAAGAAAATGCACTCTTTAATAATTCCTTTTAACATACTCCTTGAACTCTTTTACTCAATTAAGCTGTAATCTGGTAATGCTATGAATTCTGTGATTTGTGTCTTGGGCTCATGTACAAGTATTACACAACTTCAAAACTGTTCACTAAGGTAGCGCAGAGTGAGGAAGGAAACCTGTGTGAACGTACATGCAATCACTCACTCAAGGACCAAGATATATTTAGAAAGTAATTAATAATAATTTTACAAAATGCAATCTGAAAACTACTGACTCCAGGCCATTTTAACTCACACCTTCTATAGAAAGAATAAACTCTCTTTTTTTTTTTTTTTTTTAAATGTTTTTCTTTCTAATCAACTCTCATTTTCTCTCATTTGTAACTTTGCTGGTAGCCTCACCTCTGCCTCCTTTCCATTCTCTAGCGTAGTGGAAAGGGAAATTTTACTAGTTTCCCATTCCTTTTGCTTTTCAGGCAAGCATGTGCATACATGCTACACACTACTCAGCCTTCCCTTCAGCACATCCAGGCTACATTTCCCTCATTTCAGTCAAAATGTACCTTGGCTAGCAAAAGAAGTCTAAAAATACACGTACAATTCCTCCTTTTGGCAGAGGAATTTGCAGTGCACTTTACCTCTGCGTGAGCGGTTTCAGCATAAACTGTTGCAGTTCAGACTTTACCTCCGCACCTATTCTTAGTCTCCATGACTTTAATTTGCTTTCCTTTCCTCTCTCCCACCAAACAGTTCCTCTGCTTTTTCTCCTGAGCTTTTCAGAATTCAAACATAACCCGCAAAGTTCCAAACAAAATAAAATGGACAGGAAAAGGTAGCTAAGAAATCAGCTGCATCAAATATGAAAAATTAGTGTGAGGAGCAGAAGGGTGAAAAGATAGAGACATCTCCATTTCTGCTATTACTCCCCATCATGGATACACCTATACTTCCAATCTCTTAAAGTCCTGGAAAAGTGTGAGGGGAATGGTGTTTCAGTTAAGACTATAACACTGGTGGAGTTTTGAGAGTGCTGAATAGCAACATGGTATGGAAAAGATGGTATTCCTATGTTTGCTATATTGAACTGAAATTCTTCAGTTCGTAACACAAATGCTCTCAGTGTTATCAGATTTAAAAAGAACATATAAAATAATCTGTGTTGTTATTTTCTGAATATGGCAAAGCAATATAATTACTAAAACTCAATGAAAGTAACATGCTGCTCTTACGTACGATGCTTTGAAGTGCTAAAAGTTTAAATTAATTTGACTCATTAGGTAAACAAAACTTAATAACCTGGAAAAATGGCCAAAAGCCAATACCTCTGGACTCAGCGTGCATTAAACACAGGTGAACTGTTTAGAAAAAAGGTCCAAACAATTATGGTTCTCCCCGTTTGAACTGTTTTTATGTCACCGAAAACCCTTTCAACTGACATTCAAAGAGGTTCCACCACGCTCCAGTGGACACATTTTAACCTTCCTGTAGCTGGGAAAGAGAACCAAAGCTAGAAAAAATGCAGCATCTGAAATTTTATGACAAGTCCACATTTTTTTAGTGACTTATTCAGGTTTTAAATGTTGTTTGCTTATAAAATAGATAGTGCCAATACCCTTCATGGAGAAGTTAGTTTTAAATTGCAGCTGAATAGATAGTATTAGCAATTCACCACCAAACCGGTAATTTTTTCTGTAACTGGTAAGATGTTCCCCGTGAGGGAAACCTTACCAAGGCAAACCTTCAGAAGCACAGAGTTAACCCTTGGTTACAAAAGACCCGTATGACAGCAAAATAAGAGAAAAGCCTGACCTTCTGAAGTCCTCCATTCTCCTCCACCAAAGGAGGAAGAGCACTGGTGCTGTTGGTAGATGGTGGTTCGACATTGTAGTCACGAAAGCAGCAGAATAAGGTGCTAAAGATACTTCGACTCCTCTGCTTCTTCAAGCTGATATTACATTGGGACACTAGGGAAAAAAAAAAACAACAGCAGAAAAATAAATTCACGTAGCACAGACCTAGTTTTCCAGACCACAGTGACTGAATTTAAGATGCATGATTATTACCTCAGAAGTCCTTCTTAAGTCTTAAGATAACCTCACAGAGATTTTTCCATCATATTGAGGCCCCCTTCCTTCCGTTTCAACCCATTTTTTCCTTCTTGAACTCACGCTGACGTTAGCCTGTTGCTACCCAAGCCGGATCTCTGCACAATCGCAGGGCTTGCCGTACTAAGACACTACCTCGAGAGTTTTCCTAGAAATACCCAAAGTAGACGCTGTAAATTACATGAAATAACTCGCTGCTAAAATACGTCTCCGGACTGAGGAAGCAAACGGGATGGATCTAAAACAGAAGAGACACAAATAAATGCCTGCTGATGCCCGGGCATATTTTCTAGCCAAATACACGATCCCATGTGGAACATTTAAACTCCTGCAAGGGTCAGAAAAAAAATCTTGAGATGTTTCCGAGTTTCCTCTGTTACTGTTTGACAGTGTTGCTGGAGGACAAAAGACACAACACAGAGGCAACGCTGTGAGCTGCAGAACTGGCTGCAGGAACAGGTCTGGAGAGGGTGTTACTAAATAAACAGGAGTCCTGGCCTTTTTTTCAACTTGCTTATTGGGCTACCAGGATTTAAAAAAAGCCAAACTGGTAAAAAATTACCTACAGCTCAATGAAAGCAAGGGCAGCACTTCTAAAGACTAAAAACTGTAGATTAAAGCACCAGGTTGGAGACGAGAAATGCCCGTAAGACATCTAATAGAATCATAGAATCATTTAGCTTGGAAAAGACCTTTAAGATCATCCAGTCCAACCATTAACCCACAATCTAATGATTTCCCCAAGATTCAAACTCCTGAAAATTAGATCTTGAACACACACAGAAAGATGAAATATAGAACAAAATGAGTTGGAAAAAAGTTTCAGAATACTTTCAGCAATACTCGATTTGATCACCAAGTATTTTAATGATCTACGGTTAGCTAGAAGTACGCGCTTCCTCCGTCGGAGCGCAATCCCCGCCAGATTTCGCGCTCTCCGCAGGCGGGGACAGGCAGGCGCGCCCCTTCCCTCCTGTGCAGCCCTTTCTGACGCTTATCCGTACCACTGCGACGCGTGGTCTGAACGCTGCCGATGCTCGACTGGCTAACATCACGTGGGAACACGGCGAGAGGCAGC